CAAATTGGTTGCTCCTAACAGGTAACTCAAAACCACGTTAGGCAAGATTTTATGAAATCGGTAAAAGGTCTTTAAAAAATGTGCGCCAAAATTGTAAAAGCGACGGAGAAAACTCAGAAAATAGAGTTTACGACAATTTATTTTGGAGTACATATAACATCAAAAACGTTAAGTCAACAATGGAAGAAATGAAAAGCACTTTGAAGACCTTTAAGAGCTATCATGTGATCTAGAAATACAGCGATTTGTGGTCTGTGAGTAGGTGGAATCATYGGTCCATATTTCTTCAAAAATGATGACGTTGAGAACGTAACCGTCAATTGCGAACGTTATTGTGCTATGGTAACCGTCTATTTGATACYTATAATTAAAGCTTTTGATCTCGGCGACATTTGGTTTCAACAAGGTGGCGCCACTTCCTCACCAACCAATGGATTTATTGAGAGAACACTTCGGTGAGCAGATAATTGCACGTTTTGGACGTGTCGATTAGCCACCAAGACCGTGTGATATCACACCGTTAGACCTTTGGCTGTGGGAATATGTAGAGTTTAAACTCTATGTCTGTCATTTGCCAGTTACCAGTCGAAGAGCTCGAACGAATCATCGAAAATTGGATGTACGAATCAATGGTTGTACCCTCTGAGATTWAGCCAACATTTTAAAGAGATAATCATCAAAAARTAAATGCCAGAGAATATTCTTTCGAATAATAATAAACATTCGCCATTARATTTGAAGTTTCTGTACTTTTTTTTAAGTAGGAAATCTCGATATGGATCACTCTTTATAACATTTTCACCACTACATGGCCAATATAAACTTTATTTTAATGATTTTTATGCAACTTTCACCATAATTTCTTTTGCTGTCAACCGAATTATTTGCTTAACTTTCTGACCCACCTACACTAGGCAGCACATGCGCTTGTTGTTATTGTTGCAACTGCTGCATTTCWTTGCAAATGACGAGTTGCAGTCAACATTTGCCGCAGCACTCATCAACAACAATAAAAAAATAAGAAATAANAACAACAAGTGCGAAAGGTAATTTGGAGCAGGAAGCAGTTTGCGAGAGCGCAGAACACACAATTACCAGCAACAGCAAAAGCAGTAATGAGAACAACAACTACAATAATAACGAGCACAAAAGCATTAAAGAACAACAACAACAATATTCATAACGATTACAGCAACAACAACAACAACAGAATGAAACATACCAACAACAATAACAGAAACAACAACAATTACAAACACAACAACATTTAAAAAACAACAGCAACTGCAAAAACACAACAACAATAARCGAAAACATCAGCAATGCACAGCAATCAAATGTCAGCGGCAACAGCCGTCCCAACACCGGTGGCAGCAATAAACGACCGAGTCGATCCGTTGGGCAGCGCTCGCCTAAAGGAAGGGGCTTAATGGCGTAGCGRCAGCGGGACTGGCAGCTAAAGKTGTACACATGCCAGCATACWGGCACAGCAAATGGCAGCGGAAAACGGAGGAAAGCAGTAARCAACAACAAAAGGAAAAGGAAAAAGGCACAAAAGCAAAATAGGAAMTCGCAACTCAAATTGCAAAATCACCGACTAAGTACAACAATGATTGCTGAAGCAACAAATGCAAACAGTTAACAATAAACAGTGTCAGCTACAACAACAACAGCAACTGCATTGCCAGCAGCATGTTACAAGTGTTGCGTACCAACAACAACAAATCATTGAAGCATTATAGCAGCAACAACAACAGCTAAGCGTTATAGCAACGGCAACAACAAAGCCTACATGAAGTACGAAATAAGTTGAGGAAAAAACGGTTGAGCGCAGGCAACAATGATTACAGCAATCTGCAATTGCAAAGTGCAGCTCACGCACACACTACAAAGGTAGCAATTGTGCAAATATATAACARTGACAGCAGCAACAACAAACACCGCAGCYAGCAATAACAATTGTCAGTGTAACAAACCAAGCAACAATGGCGTTTGCTTATGTGCAACGCGGCAAGCAACAACAATAAGCGTGATTGACTGATGGAACGAGCGCAAGCAAACAATCAAATGTATGTACAAGTATGTATGTATATGTATATATATGTATGTGTGTGTATATGCGCAACGATAATAATAACTAACGTATTTGTAGCGAACGCATTCACCAGTTAGCGCTTGGGCGGAGCGTTGGCAGTTGTTGCTAGGCGCACTGAAAGTCAGTAAAACTGCAAACACACATGCATATATGTTTATTTGCTCACATGCATACATACATACATATGTACATTGAAAATCATTGTGAAAAAAACGTTGAAAAAATTTGTATAAAAGTGTGTTGTTTGTGCAAGAAAATCGCATGCACGCTGAAACGATCATTTTGTTGTTGATGATGTTGCTGTCGTCGTTGCTAACATGCGCGGCGACCATCCGTATGGAAGAGTTTTCAAACTAGTACCGCAAGTCCAATAGTAGAGTTTTCGAACCAGTCAGTCATCTTCTGAAAATCGTGTAAAATTTGATCTTACAATCATCATTTTGTCTTTGCCAGCTATTTCTTTTTGCTACCATACACAAAAATTTATATTTCGATTTAAAATCGAAAATTTYGACATCCCGGCGAATAATATTTTTCAGCTCTTCATATCAAAAATATTTTCTAATTTCGTGTGGGGTATAAAAACCAATCGATTTCGCATTTTTATAAGTGTGAATGTTGCCGTTTGTCTCTAAGTGCATACATATGTATATACATATGTACTTGTGTATACATGGCATATGTAATGTCTAGGCCTGAGCGTGTGTTATTGGAAGCCGCGGTTAAAACTAGACACAATTTCGTCTCATTGTTGTTATTGCGCACAGCTTAACGCGCTGTTGTCAAGTGCATAATATTGTATTTTATACATACATATACATATATGTATATATTTTTTTGTCTTCATATATGTATATATTTTTTTGTCTTCAGTAACAGCATACAACTTACGCTTATTGTTGTTGTACGTTTTGTGCACTAAACCATGACGTGTGTCTGTCTGTCTGACGAACTGTTTGACCGACTGTGTGAACACCTATGGCTGCTTTGCTTTCCTTTATGTTATTAYTGCTATTGTTGTTGTATTTTATGTTGTTGTCATAATTTTTTGTTATTGTTGCTATTTTTTGTTGTTTTTGTTACTTTTGTTGTTGTCGTTTTTGTCGTTGCTATTATTGTTGTTTTAGTTGTTGTTGTAGTTAATGTGGTTGTTGCTGCTATCTATGTACGTGCTTGCAGYGCTACAGTGTCTAACTATGTACGTTTGCTTATTGTTGTTGTACTTTTCAACTCGCTTTATACAATTGTTAGCGCTGGCTGTTATTGTTGTTGCTACGTTGCTATGTATTTTCATATTGTTATATGTGAGTTTGTATGTGTTTACACAGACAATATGTTTGTTGCCATGCCGCTGAGTCCGCTAATGACGTGCATTCGTTAACATACATACATACATTGTGCATATGCACATATACATATGTATGTACATACATAAATGAAATGACGACAATGACACGCACGAACGGRCGGCTGAACGAGCCGGAATTATTTTCCCATTTAATCATTACATGTATTTAATTATTTTATTTACTTATGTACATATTTTCTGTGCGATAGCTCACACATAAATACATACCTGTATATGTGTATTTAATGGAAATGCAACAACAAAAGACTGACAACAAACAACGCTGATATTAATCTCAAACCAACAACAATAAAACAATAAAGCTGCAACATCATTCATATTTGCTATTTTTTCCATAAAACTGCTTATATAATTAACTATCTTTTATTGCTTGCATATATCATATACATACATACATACAATGTCTGATATTTATGTGTAGTGACACATAATAACGCCCTCATTAGCCCACATTTATCTTCTGGCGCAAATAAATGTAATCCACGAATTAAAGCCAAACAAATTATTCACTTGGCAAAATTACTCGCCTATGATCAAAAAATTATGCACAAGTGCTTACTTACTTATTATAATTATATKTACGTATGTACATATATGAATGCGTATACATACATATGTAAGTTTATAGGGTAGCTAAAATAGTATTAATATTTAATTTCATAGTTATCTTTATCTTGTTGTGAAAATGAAACCGCTTTCAATGTGCTTAATGAAAGCTTAACTCATTACGAGATAAACAAATCGAGTATATAATACAACAACAAAAATAGTAATATATATTTCTGAAAGCCGCTACCTTAATTTCTTTGTTGTTAGTATGTAAGTACGTAAGTCTCATTATGCATACTACTTCTCACCGTTTTTATAAAATAATTAAATTAATTTTTCTTTAATACAATGATATTTTACCTCAAATAATACCAAACTGATTAGAACGCAAATTTGCAGTCCTTATACATACATATWCATATGCATGTATGTACATGTGCCCAATTATCAAATAAACTTGCCAACTTACTCTTACTTTGCTACAAATTTGATCTCTTAACACTTCTTTCCAAAACCTTGAAATSACTTCGCCCTCTCAATCAAACTTCCAGCATTCTTATGTTTACTGTATAGTACATACATACATACATACGTAAGTGAATTTTCGCTTTCAATGCTCACTTTATTAGTTATGCGCTCTTACTTCSAATTGTTACAACTGCATATCAATGCTGCGCGAAGGGCTCGCACACCCTCACACTAATACGTTCGTATATGCGTGACATAAGCTGCGTGCTCTTCATTYGCGAAATGGCAATGAGTGATGCTCTGATTGTTTGCATTGTTATTGCAAATTRTTTAATATTCGAAGTTGAYCTTCAAAATATTATGCATGCAATAATAGCTAATCAATACTCYTGAGAGAATTTAGAAGAGTGTCGAATTTCGAAATTTGGTCTTTTTTAGAATCGTGGAATGCAGAATATTCCAGGAATGCAATGTAACAGTAAAAATATTTATTTACAAGTGATTAAGAGAGTGGACACAAGTAATTCTTGACTGATGTCGCGAATGTTTGTTAAAATTAGTGAAAAGTATTTGTTTAAAGTGTTAAAGTGTGTTTTTCATTAACTTAAAGTTAAAATCGCTAAGAAATGCAAAAGAGTAGTGTCGTGAAAGTTGTTGTGCGTTAAATTTCTCGAAAGTATGATTGTCTACATATATTGTGCAAATTCCTTAAGTGTGTTTTAGGGTTCGTTCGTGGGTGTGTATATGCTTKTATGTATGAACCTAACAATCTTTACGCGTTTCGCTGTTGGATTATGTCGCATGTGTCGGGTAGTAAATGCTACAGTGTTGYTATAAAAAATAGCGCGTGGCGTAATATTGGCAAAACAAATTTGAAAAGGGTAAGTTTATAATCAAGTTATTTGATTTTTATGCAATAATTATATATGTATATTTATTTCATAATTTATATTTGTATTATAAAACTTTTCTGTCTATATGTACATACATACATGCGAACGTGTAAATTTTTTTTTACTAAACAACCGAGTATGTAGGAAATTTTCTGCAAGTAATTGTAAACAACTGTGTCTAAGAGACTATAGATCTAAAACCGTATTCGAGTTGGCGATTTTTAAGCGAAGTTTGTTTAGGTATTACAATGATTTGTTTACCARTCTTTGAGATATCCGAATGACATTTAATGCTTAGGTGCTTTTTATACTCTTGCAGCATGTGTCTACAGTGTATAATAGTTTTGTTCACCCAACGGTTGTACGTATCGAGATAGATATAGGGTTACATACATATRTATGTATGTATATACATAAATGATCAGGATGACGAGACGATATACATACATATGTATTGAGTTTAAGATATTAATTATGTTTCAGTTTTTTATAAATTTTTTTAAACTTTATTTATATTTTTATTTTTTTTTATTAATTTTTGAATTAAATGTTTTTGTTTTTCCTTAAATTGGTCATATTATTTCCAAAGATACAATTTTTTTATATGCAGAATTTTAAAGTAATAATTGGTACTATGATTAATGCGAGAAGGTCATTTATTTAGTTTAGTTTATTAATTTTGTTAATTTATTTTCAAAATGTTTAAGCATTTTTTTATACTTTTATATATGTACATATATATATTTTTTTTATTTTTATGCTTTCTTAAATTTTTCATATAATTTCCAAATATTCAAACGTTTTTTGTATTTTCGTTTATTTTATTTGATTTAACATTTTTTATATATAATAATTAATTTTTTGTTTAGTTATATATTTTTTTGAAATATATTTTCCTTGAATTTTTTATCTTATTTTCAATGATGCAAATCTTTTCAGTTGTACGTTTTATTTACCTATTTTTAAAATTTTGTTAATTATTTTTTAATTAATTTATTTTTAATATTTTCCTATAGTTTCTTCATTAGCAATTTATTTTAATAATAAATCAATAACTAAATACGCCAGATACAATTAATTTTACTACCAAGATGGTATGAGCCATGGTCAAAATTGCATGATATGTGTGGCACGCCCACATTTGAGTAAAAACACTATCTCAGACCCGCTCACCGAAGTAAAAAAAAAAACTTTTTTCTGCGCTAATATACAGATATAATTGTACATAGTTGATATGTATGTACATATGTACATATGTATGTATAAATATTCGTATCTCTGTTATGAGCAATAAGTAGAATTCTCTAACAAATATSCCTTGTTACAATCACTAGTTTGCATCGAACATGTTCTGCAATAACAAATGTTTGCAACTACTCCGTAAAAAGTAATATTATTGTGAAACCGATAACAACCGTTCGAATGTGCAGTTGACAACAACAGCATTGGCAAGATTCTCAGATAAAATCACATGCGCTGAGTCATCTGTGACCAAAGTAATACATGTGTCACTATGTGCATAAAAAGCAGCTTMTCGATAACTCATCAATGTTTCCGCATAATGTTGCCAATAGCGGACAGCTAGCGCTGAAAAGCCAAAGCCAAAAACAAAAAGCAATGTAATTACGACGACCCCAACGGCTGACGGYTGAAGCAACAGCAATAGCATTAATAGCATATTATACCATATACTATGCGCTAACAACAATTGCTGAGCTGAGGACAGCAATTACAACAGCAACGCCAAGCATGAGCGCTAGCGGCGGCGCCGGTAGCAAAAGAAGCAAAGCCAACACCAGAAAGTAATTAAAATATAATAAATCGCGCTGTGCTTACAGTGAAGAACAGCAACAGCAAGCATATAAGACATACATACATATACTACGCGAGGTGTTGCAGCGAAAAATCAGCTGTTGCCATTACCATTGTACATAGTGGTGTTGTTGGTTGTTATAACTGCAGTTGATTTTTATGACTGCCATAATTCTTATAATTACTGTTATCGTTACATCGTTGCTGTGGCTGTATAGTTGCTGCTGTTGTTGTTGTGATTTTTTTTTTAAATTTTGTTGCATCAGCTGATGATCGTGGCGGATACATGAAGGCACAAAGGCGGTGAACAAGTGCCGCGCTTGACAACAGTGCTGCCTAGTAAGACCAGATACCAACACCAGTAGGATATAAATACTTTAGATCAGGTTTTTAAGTCTTAAAGGAAGAAAGACTATATAACATACCTCTCATACAGCAGATTCCTCAGACATTTTAAATTTCGTCTTAAAATATCTGGATTGAAACCGACTCACAATCGCTTAGGTTAAGTTGTTCAGTATGAACCGTAGAACATTTCCAGCATACTTGATTAGATAGAACAACGAAAACCAACATGTATATATTTAGATGAACATAGGTAGGTGTACTTACAGGATGCTGGACACGCGAGAAAAAGTCGTTTCAAGTGCTTCTCATATTGATTCAAAAATAAAAATGTTAAAAWATGTAAAATAATACATATACATACATACATATGTGCATAGAATTGAGATTGACTCTCAATATGTCTTTTTTTGCGATTCGAACAGATTATGCTAACCAAGCGATTCAGCCATCAGTGTAAAAGTAAGTCATCTGACAGCTTCGCAAAATATTCAAAAAGTTCAAAAAATATTGTAAACTCTTTTCTGTTATTAAACTATCCGTTATGTGTATCTACCAGATTTATTCACTTCATACTACTCGCTCGCTGTTGCCATGAACGTGCCATACAATAAATCTTTTGTCAGTTAATAGGACCACTTACAAAATAGGAAATCATTTTACTTTTTTGTATATTCTATCAATTCCACRTCTTTAATTCAGTTTTTTAGCTTGTTGCTAAGTAATATTCAAAGGCAACTATAATTTTATGATTTTGCCAAGAAATCAACTTTGTATACCCTGAATAAGGTGCATACATACATATGAATGTATAACATGTATGTATGTATTATATGATCATTTGACGGAACCGCAGATTTCGGACCACTAGCATATACATAGGTGCCATATAAACTAAACGATTAAAATCAAGATTTTTTTCTTTTTACATCTTTTTAAAGTAATMGATCTAAATCAAGTTCTTCTGTGACCCCTTTGTATTTGTGAAGGTGATATATGTATTTATGTCTAGCTTCACTGCAACCAAAATTACCGCTTTTTTGCTTTTATTCAACACTTAAGTGTCTAATTGCGATTTCCTACCTCCAATTTTACCAATTTTTTATTTGAGTTTTTTTGTTTGTTATTCAAGTCGTTTCTCTATTTCTATAATAAAATTTATTCATCGTTAATTCGCCGTTTTTCAACCAATTTATATTAATTTCGTAAAGTTAAAGTTTCGCCACGATCGTGCCATTAAGCGTCTTACCAATTTAGTGTAATTTATTGACTTCTTCCTTTTGCAATTTCGCAGCGTACGAACGCCTTTTCTACTTTGTAAATTCAGAGATTTACTTATGCTGAGTTTCAATTAATTATTTTTATGTTATTTTTTCTTATAAATTTTATAGATYTCAGTTGATTTCGAAAATTGTGTTTGCATTCGCGCGCACGGTGATTTCGATTTATATGCGTTTGCTTTCACGTAGATTTTTGTTTATATGTATATTTTGTGTTCATGTACATATGTATGTATGTATGTGTGTGTGTGTGGTTGACCAAACAGTTGGGTGCGGCAAAATTTATGGTTGTTGGTGAAAATTAATCTTCATTTGTACATTTACTTTGTTACAAGAATTTAATAAAATTTTGTTTTTGTTTAGACAAGAAACAGGCGCTAGAAGAGTTTCGAAATTTCGATTTTGACATACAAAGTATGTAGGCAATAAACGTGTTTGTAGACAAATAGTGCAGAAAAACTTTTATTTATTTGCKCAAATTTGTGAGCTAGAATTTTGGAAACTAATTTTATATGTAACTACAGGGTATAATATGTACCTTTTAAGTTTGCACGAGGTTTGTAACAACCCGAAACGTCGGAGATCCTAGAAAAAATATATAGAACGTGCTTTAATTTTTGAGATATGGAACTGAAATTTTGCACACGATTTTCTTATAGTTAAAATCTGCA